TGAAAAAATAATTATTAGTACTTGTAAATATAACCATGTGATATTTGATCAGTATAGTATGGCACCTGCCATTAAAATCTAATAGCATTTTAATAAAATTTTAATTATTTATTTTTTAATAATTAGGGTGTATTGCACAACAAAATCTACATAATTGCGACCACGGAAATCCTTAATATTTTTCGGTCTCGAGTAGATGGGTTATTCTGGTTTGAAATTATTACCAGACTTAATTAGTCTACTGTAAATGAAAAGAGATTAAATAATGTGGGATGAGTGAATTAAAATGATGACGATAAATAAACGCAATCTACATACATTTAAGATGATGTACTGGTATATGTATTTCTATTGCAATAGACTGAACGTTATAATGTAAACCGCTTTAATCTTGTGGAAGACAAGTTTGGGTCGGTGACTTTCGCAAAATTTCCCAGGGTTCCTTGCGGCTAGGTCATTGAAAGTATCTCTGCCACCACACAATGCCATTTTGTGGTGAAACACCACAAGACTTTTACTACGCATATCATTTGCGTATTTTTGCTATTAGAGGGATCTGGTGTTGATTTATTCGTACTGGAATTAAACAAATTTTTAAATAATTTCCTCGCGGAATAACGGTTACTAAGGTGTTACTCGGTTCATCAAACTGACCGTTCTGACGATTGCCAGGCGAAGTAATATAATAAAACGAATACACTTAGGGGTATTGCAAGCTAAATCGTTCTACTTCACACCGTTTGTGTTACGGAAATTAAAAAAATGAGTCTCTCACTTTGAAAACAGCCAGAATCCACAAACAATGCGTACACTTTCATCGGGGTTAGAAAATCGAACATCTGCATGGCAATGTTTTGTTGGGCGTCTTTGAAAGTAGTGCCACTGTGACGCATCGACCAATCAATGACCAAGCATGAGATCGTGTTGTGGCAGAGATATATTCGTAGAAATAGAACTCTGCCTGGGAGATTGACTATGACTAAGTTGTGTTATCATAAAGTCCCTCAATTAAGCACAGTCATGATTTTAGGATCAATATGATCCACAGAAATTCTGATTTGATCCATAGTCTCTAAACAACACTGAATTTGTCTGAATTTGCAATTGCACTGCTATGTACTGTGTTGACAGGGTTATACTGGGTTGCTACAAAGCATAGTCGATAGACTTTCCAAAAACTGCTCAACTCTCAGCCTGAAGTTAATGCAAAAGAACTCAAAGTTAATTAATGGACTTTACTGTATTCAGTATATAATTATACTTTTTTAAATATTAATAATTAAGTAACCGTACCAGCACAGTATGTTAGATGGGTTAAAAAGAATGTAAATAAAAATATGGCATAAAATGGGACCATTAAAATATTCATTGCCACATCATGTTGAGTTTTATACGTGTTCCATGCAACGTATACAACCGACATCAAATAGCTTCTTGGTATTTTAAACTGATGTGTCTTCTGATTTCATATCGGTGACAGTTGTAAATCCTGGTTCTCTAACCGGCGGTGCCGTAGATTCTATTGTCTTTGCAGCCACACCTTGTTTTGGTTGGCAATCTTCAGAAATTTCAGTGAACTTGATTTGTTCTTCGGGATCAACATATTTGTACTTTACAGCTAAGATGACAAAAATCATGAAATCCACAGAGAGAATTGCAGCGAGTAGAAAGAAAAAACGCTCCAGATATCCACAATTAACATCATCTGGTATCCAGGGATTATCTGAATAAAACAAAAACTTAAAATTAAAACTTAACAATAATTTAAACCAATAAATAGATAAGTATATTTCAGCAGTATTACATTTAATCAGGACAGCAATGTTACAACAGTTCACAACTATGATGACATTTATTCTATAAATGGAAATAATTTTAACCATTGGCATTTTCTGTTCACTAAAAAAAAACAGTCTGCGGGTTCAAATAATGAAGACAAATTAACAGATAACGGAGTCCTTACAATGAAAGGCATTAATATAGCACCTTTTTAATGTTTGAAGAGTCTTTTTCAATCAAATCACAAAAATAATACCTGAATAGGTTTTCACATTTACTAACCTTCTGAAGCACTGTTTACTATGGCAACTAAGAGGGAACCAAGGTAGCTACCAAGACCAGATGTTAACAAAAACATCCCCATGACGACACCCTGCATGGAGGCTGGAGATTGAGAGAAAGCGAATTCCAAACCTATGAACATAAAGAAAACAAGACATTTGTTTTTTTAAAATACAGGCTGCTGTGGTTGTGGAAGAGATAGAGGTGTATGTTGGATGCATGGTCATGTTTATTTGTTTCAATGCACACAACATCAGTTGAATATTTAAAATGTATCATGTTTGTTAGTGTAAATTAAATCTTGGAGCATAAATTAGGTCACACACGCTGGGATTTAATGTTAATAAATATCATTAGAAAATGAACAATATGTATAGTACAATGTATCAAAGCAATCAGACTTGCTGTTCTCAACAAGAATACAAAAAACTATAACTTTTTACCAAAAATATTAATTGAAGATATCATCACAAAATGAACAAATCTGAGAGAGTTCAACATGTAGTACCTATATAAGTAATATCAAAGCAATCGGACTTGTGGTTTTTAACACAAAGTCACAAATATCATTTTTTACCAAAAATGACAAAAATATTCACCAAAATTAGAGAATTAAAAATATCATCACAAAATGAACAAATCCAAGAGAGGTCCACATGTAGTACTTATATATGTAATATCAAAACAATCAGACTTGCGGTTTTTAACAAGAAGTCGAAAATATCACTTTTTACCAAAAGTTACAAACAATAATCACCAAAATTAGAGAATTAAAGATATCATCACAAAATGGACAAATCTGAAAGAGGTCCACATGTAGTACCTATATATGTAATATCAAAGCAATCAGACTTGCAGTTTTTAACAAGAAGTCGAAAATCTCACTTTTTACCAAAAATGACTAAATACTCACCAAAATTAGAAAATGAACAAATCTGAGAAAGGTCCACATGTAGTACTTATATATGTAATATCAAAACAATCAGACTTGCGGTTTTTAACAAGAAGTCGAAAATATCACTTTTTACCAAAAATATTAATTGAAGATTTCATCACAAAATGAACAAATCTGAGAGAGTTCAACATGTAGTACCTATATAAGTAATATCAAAGCAATCGGACTTGTGGTTTTTAACACAAAGTCACAAATATCATTTTTTACCAAAAATGACAAAAATATTCACCAAAATTAGAGAATTAAAAATATCATCACAAAATGAACAAATCCGAGAGAGGTCCACATGTAGTACTTATATATGTAATATCAAAACAATCAGACTTGCGGTTTTTAACACAAAGTCACAAATATCATTTTTTACCAAAAATGACAAAAATATTCACCAAAATTAGAGAATTAAAGATATCATTACAAAATAACAAATCCAAGAGAGGTCCACATGTAGTACTTATATATGTAATATCAAAACAATCAGACTTGCGGTTTTTAACAAGAAGTCGAAAATATAACTTTTTACCAAAAATATTAATTCAGGGCTCGAAATTAGTGGTAGCCCCGCGTCCACAGACTACCAGTTTCTTACTTGGGGCTACCACTTTTCAAATTCGGTAGCCCAACTGGGCTACCAAAAATCCGGGATGAGACAGTGTTTACTCTAGGATGCGCGATTGCCCGCTTACTACACACGCCCTTAAAAAATTCTCCGAGGGCAAAAATCGCCCTTTTCCTCACTGCCCATTGAATTCTTTTTATGATGGCCTGTGCGTGTATTGGACTGTGACATGCCAACTAGCTTGATGATACAAATAACAATCACCCTCCCATATATTTCATTTAAAATTGTGCGTCCTTATATTTAAAAAACAATACATTCTTCGGGTATGTCAGGGTGACGCGTTAAGCAACTTGCCGAGGCAACAATGCATTGTCCTTCCCGCTTGTTGCGTGATTTAATTATTTTGCTCGTCCAATTTTTGATTATTACACAGTAGTGATTGTATTAATGTATAAAAAAATAAATTCGTTGAATTGTTATGAAATGCAACTTAGTTTCATCGTAAGCGACCTGATAATCCCAAATTAACCAATCAAAATGGTGGATGATGCCAACGTGCTCATAGCTCATTTAAATAAGTTAATGTTATTGAACGCATCACGGAAGAGATTTGCCGATATTGTAGTACGGTCTTTTGGCTTGGATTTAGATGGGAAAATGGGATGGTTTTTTTTTAAAACAAAAAATTAGTTGTTTTCAAAAGATAAAATGAGCATTTGAAGAATAATTTAACATTGTTTATAGTGATACCAGCTCATTGTTGAAACAAAGCTTACCCATTCACGCTAGTCACCATAAAAATCATACTTTTGAATAGGCATCAATGACTACGGTAAAACTTAAATTAGACTATATTAGGCGTCCGGAATAATTTAAATGTCCAATTACTAGTATGCCAAAATATTTAATAAAAAAACGTGATTTATTTTATTTTAAAAACCAAACAGAATCAAGTACATTGTATAGACAGGATTACATTACCGTAGTGTTAGTTCTGAGTGTTAGTTCAATTAAACGCCATTTGCAATAAAGTTGTCAAAATGTGACCTCCAATTAGCTCCAAACAGAAATGAAAATGTATCAAAGTGGCGCCTATATGAGGTATTATAAGGTACAATCAAGATAAATTTTTTTGTGGCAATTTAAGTTTTGCGACAATAAAATTGAATACTGTAACATTAAAACTTTAAACTTAGAATTTGCAGTATTTCACAATGCACAATGAGTGAAAGCAGTGAAACTATAAAACATGAACTCTTTATTTCAGTTAGGTTCTCCTGTCTATAGGAAATTAGTACCAGTACATTCAAATATATGAAACATTATCTACCTGTCAAAATAATGTACTGAACATGACATTTGTTTATAGAAAAAATATTCTTTTTTATTTTTACGGCATAAATACTGCTTTAAAAATATTGGGCTACCAGGGATTGATCTTGGGCTACCAGTTTTAAAAAGTGGTAGCCCAGATGGACTACCCGAAAAAAAAGTTAATTTCGAGCCCTGTAATTGAAGATATCATCACAAAATGAACAAATCTGAGAGAGTTCAACATGTAGTACCTATATAAGTAATGTCAAAGAATTCGGACTTGTGGTTTTTAACACAAAGTCACAAATATCATTTTTTACCAAAAATGACAAAAATATTCACCAAAATTAGAGAATTAAAAATATCATCACAAAATGAACAAATCAGAGAGAGGTCCACATGTAGTACTTATATATGTAATATCAAAGCAATCGGACTTGCGGTTTTTAACAAGAAGTCAAAAATATCACTTTTTACCAAAAATGACAAAAATATTCACCAAAATTAGAGAATTGAAGATATCATCACAAAATGAACAAATCTAAGAGAGGCCTACCCAAGGTACATATACACCAAGTATCAAAGCATTCAGGCTTGTAGTTTTCAAGAAGTCGTCAAAAAAGTAAAACATTGACACAAACAGCGATGGACAAAGACGACGGAAATAGCGCCCATTTTGTCGGTATCAGAATACTTTTATTGTAAGATGAGGTTATAACAAGTATTATCACCGAATTATTGTTAGGAAGAAAATGCTATATTGTGAGTGATGACATGGTACTTTTTGTTATCCTGAGTTTTTGATGAAGTGTTGGTTTTCAAAGTAATTGTGTTATATGTACTAGAAATATAGTAAATGTAACATACAACACAATACTGTTTTATGTCATCGTGGAAATATATCTGCATGATTGTACATAATTAAACAACTGAATATTGTTATGTGATTATGACCAAATTATGAGTACCCCAAACCCTTTTCACCATCACAAATTTTAAACCCAGATAATATTTTATTAAATATTCCAAAATTTTGATCAAGACTTACAGCCGTTAGAAAATTATGCTGATTTAGTCCAAAATTATCCCTAAAAATATAGATAAATACATAGATACAGACAGAATGTTGTTGGGAAAAATGAGGAACATGGAAACTCACCCGTAATTGAGGTAAAAACCTCACTAGCACCAACCAATGCAAACTGCGGAATCTGTACAAAGATGGTCAAATTGGAGGAGTTATAGCTGACATCATTAATCTCTTGTTGGAAGTATCCACCGCCTTGCATGACATTTTTACGATATATCTCTGTGATGCCAGCTATAGTTATGGAAATTGTTGCTAATATCATACCAAAGCCTAGAAATGAACCAAACCAGACAGAGTATATAATAATGAAATATTAGGAATTTATAAATTATAAATCAATTGAAGTGGATTGTTGATTTCATTGCGCATTATATTAAGTATACCACAGAATATGCCTAAGTCATGATGTTAATGTCAGGTTTTGAACTTTTAGAGCAACAAAGGAAACTTCTGTAACATTACAGAAATAACGCAGCATAATTTTGTCTACTTGCATCCAAATTATGGCAAAAAAATGTTATAGGTTCAATAATGTAGTCATCTTCTATTTGCAAAAAATTACATTTTTTTTTTAATTTTGACTAACATAAATTTCCCAAACAGTTCAGCAATTAGTGTTCTCTCCAGGATTTTGTCAGCAAGGGAGCAATAATAAAAGATACACAGTAGATAGTTTTGATATTGAATGTATGTGTAGTATTGTAGTTACAAACTCCATTAGGAAGGGTGCTACTTACCTAATTTTATTGCAGTCTTACAGCATTACTTTTATTAATTAGTTGTACCAAATTCAAAACTATTATACTGTAAAAGTATTTTATTTTCGCAATCCTCGCTGAAGGGGAAGTAAAAATATACCTTTTTTCCAATATTTTACATTCAACTTGCCAAAAATCAGTGAAAATAAATTCCATACAAAACACCCAAAAAGTCTTTTCCACGAAAATTAATTCCAGCTAAAATAAAGTATTTTATTTTTAGTATCACAAGGGGGCAATTTAAAATTGCCCCTGTTACCCTGCTTAGGGTAAGATTACACATACCTATTCTTCTAAGCGGTGTAAAGTTGACTCCACATTTCTTAATGAGAGGATATACACATCGATCCATCACTGGGATTAGCACCAATATTATAACAATATTGAAAAGATTCAAGGCTGAGATCGGTATGACAAAATCTTCAACGTTCAGTCTTAATACTTCACCTTGAAGAAAATAAGTTGATTGCATCTGAAATAAAATAATCATTAAGTATGTTTATTAATAATTCATCGATTTATTGAAAATATACGTAGCAGAATGAAGACAATGCACTGCATATAACAATCCCAGATGTTTTACAAAAGTGTAGTTGTGAAAGAAGTTTACTACCTGAAAAAAACAGATTTTATGTCGCAAATTCTATAAATACATTTCTCACTATTCTAAATTTGACATTACTTACTGGTTTGCCAGAATTGTATTACATAATACTAATTTTATTTTAAAGTAGCAATAACTATCTATCTTTTTTTTCTGATTTTTATTTTTATTAAAACTTTTCCTGTGTCATAAGTATCAATTTGTAATTGCCTAAAGGTGGATACTGAAAGCATAGAATATATATGCTATATACGGAGGTTGCATATTAAATCACTTGCAAGTAAAAAAAAAGGATAGAGTGTGGCATCCAGGGCACCAGAGGGCACCATCAATTGAAATCAAGTTTTGTTAAGCAAACCTCAGGGATATGGTAAAGATGACAATTAATTTTTTTGGATGTGCAAATTGCAAGTGCTAGTGCTGACACATAGTGCATTTTTGCCAAAGGAGTCATATTCATGTTTTGGACTACATGACAGGGCTGTGTGGCCATCTCTCTATCAAATGGCAAATTTAATTCACTATCCTGGCGTCAACCAGGCTCAGTCGAACACAAGCACCTACGGGCCTTAACCAAGGTTCCCCCAAAGTCGCATTTGTTAGTGAATGAATCTCGGCCAAGGAATTGGCCTTCCCATTGAATCTGTGGCAAACTCACCCAGGGTAGGGGCGACCCTTTTGAAGTTCAGCCTAAGGTAGGATTAGAAACTTGGGGCTACCGATCATGAGTCTGATGCGACAATCACTAGGCTACCAGAGACCGGTCAATTTTACATTTCATTTCTTTTCCTATAGTATGAGACTAATAGACTGATAGTTTTCACATGACATTTTATGTGACATAGTCATTGTGTAGATCAAGTCAATTTGGCTATACTATTTTTGTAAGAATTGGTCATATTTAGGTGGTTATATTTAAACAACAAAATACAGCTATTATCACTTTAATAAAACACCATACCCAATATTGAGAAAGTGAGGGGATAAATTGTCAGACGAAATGACACTTTGGTGCTTTTATCTTTATAAATACCTGGAAATTGGCAGACTAAAAGTTGACACTTTGGTGCCTATATCTTTACAAATGCCTGCAAATTGGTAGACAAAATGTTGACAATTTGGTGCCTATATTTTTATAAATACCTGGGAATTGGCAGACTAAAAGTTGACAGTTCGGTGCCTATCTTTATAAGAACCTAGGAATTGGCAGACGATATGTTGACAATTTGGTGCCTATATATTTATAAATACCTGGAAATTGGCAGACTAAAAGTTGACACTCTGGTGCCTATATCTTTATAAATACCTGGAAATTGGCAGACTAAAAGTTGACACTTTGGTGCCTATATCTTCATAAGTACCTGGAAATTAGAAAGATGAAATGTTCACATTGCATATAGATATAAATACCTGGAAATATATTGTCCAGTAAGGAATAATTGTCAAGAATATAGGAATAATCCTGCCTAATAATTTGACTTCTTCCACATGCGCGTCTGTGTAACTCCCACCATGTGATGTCTTTGCTCTGTCTAAACAGCTGTTAACAACGTCACATGTTTCTGACTTGGCCGTAATTCCCTTTGTACTTTGACCCACAATCTTGAATACTCTGGAATACGCACTTCCTGGAAGTGAGCATATGGTGTTTATTAATATATTCATATGGTAAGTTTTTTCTCCACTAAAATAATATTTACCAAATATAGACTAGTCAAATACATAGCAAATATAGACTGGTGAAATATTTACCAAATATAGACTAGTCAAATACATAACAGAAAATGACTAATCAAATATTCAATGAATGGTCACTAATCCAAATTATTTACTAAATCTTCACTAGTTAAATATAGGCCAAATTTTGAATACCAGTAGTCAAATATTTACCAAATATCAGAAAAAACACGAGAAAAAACCAACCTTGAGGTGGTCTATTTATATAACTATTTCTTCCAGCTAGAAGTAAGATAATAGCAAACAATATTGATATCGTGGGGATGAGGTAGCCATACACAAAACTGATTTCTTGTTGTACATATGCCACTACTGAGAAGGAAACAGCTGATCCAATATTGATAAACCAATAAAACCTGTAAAGGCAGTGAAGAAAATTAGCTAACATATTCACAAAATAAAAAGCTTACACAGTAAAAATGAATTGTGGTGCGATGACAGCGTGACTCAACCCCCCTTCCAAATTTTGCCACGCCCTTTTCATCAAAGTATAGTTCATGGAGGAATCAACTGCCTCTCACATTCAAGTTCTAATTTGTCTATTCCCTAAACTGGTTTGACAACATTTTTATTTTTAGTCTGTACATGAGGCTACCCACCCATCAACCTGTCATTTTAGACAGTTTTAAACAGGTTACATTCCACTTGACAGGCTACCGAAAATATCCACAAACCTGTCCATTTTTGATTGAAATGTGCATTTATATAGAGGTTTGTTGAGATCTGTGTTTTCATGTTCACAACTCTGACTATACTGATCAACTCCTCTTAAAATAAGTAACTATATATACGTTCACAGACAACAAAAATTACTATGCTATAAGTAACTTAGAGAATACATCAGGCAAAGCCCCAGCATACATTTAAGATTTGCTTTGAGTTACCGGTACTAAAAATACATCTCAGGTTTTTAATATAATTATGACATGTAATTAATACATTAAAAATTTCTACTAATCAAATGTGATCAATTTTTTGTCACTTGTGTGAAGTGGTGAAAACAATTACAGGCATTCTGAGATCTATTTTGACAGTCAGTTGCAAAGAGAGTCGTAACTTTGCAAAACACTAGTACTTCAGCGTTTGCTTTGTTCTAGACTTGTTGTCTCTGCCATCTGTATGATTTACTACTTTATAGGGTGATCACCATGATCGTTTAGAAACTTGGTGTATGTATTCAATAATTATTCTACATTTCTTGTTCAACTACATTGTATGTAATTAAATATTAATTAATGTACGTAAGATAATATTAAAACACTTCAAAATAACTTGTTTGTTTATTCTAATGAATATTGTTCAAATGACAAAATTGTTATCAGAAAATAAATCATTTCACGATTAAAATGTTTTCGAAAATATGTGTGTACTAGTTTTTTTTTTTAGTTGTTTTTTTATTTTCAACAAGCACGCTCTCAGCTGGGATAGCTCTGCTGTGAGCAATGCACATTTCTATTAGAGAATTCAGGATAGCATCATAAAATGAACAAATTGGAGAGAGATCTCTCTGGGATACCTGCATGTATAATATCAAAACAATCTGTTTTCAACAAGTCAAAAATATCACTTTTTACCAAAAATATTCACCAAAATTAGAAAATTAAAGATATCATCACAAAATAAAAAAATCTAAGAGAGGTCTATCCATACATATACACCAAGTATCAAAGCAATCAGGCTTGTAGTTTTCCAGAAGACGTTGAAAAAGTAAAAAGTTGACACAGATGTCAACAACAAAAATGATAGAATATCACTCAATCATATAAAAAGCTTCGCAAGTCGACAGCAGAGCTAAAAATTTGTGTTTTCATTATTTGCTAAAATTCTGACAAAAGACCTAAAAGACGCATAATTTTAACTGAAGTGAGTGCTGATCAGAAATTTGAATATGTTTATTGTATTGCTGATATATCCTTGTTGATACGGAATACAATAACAATTGTAACATGGCATACAGCTTCTTTTACCAGGTGGGAATTCAGGCAGCAACATATGCCAATTATGGAGTTAAATTATTGCATTGTAGTCAATTTATTGTTTGATACTAATTATATATACACACCTTTGTACTACGTCTTACTCTAAGTGAAGTGCCTGTGAAACGCCCACTAACACATTATATTTTTTAGTTCCTGCTGCCTTGAACTGGATATTTGTGAACAAAAATTAAATTTAAATATACAAAGTATGGTCTCAGATATGCTAAGCATCAAACCAAAGCATAAGGCATATCTGTTTGAAATCAAATAATTATTTTATTATGTTAAAAATGCATAATATCCAGGTATTTTTAGAGGTAGATTTTTCCTAGTCAATCTAACACAAAGTAACTGCATGTACAGGTACTTGAATCATATTTTATATTTTAACAGTTAATTGGTTAATTAGTTAATTGGATTTAAATAATAATTTACATACAATATACTTTGCATGTTTTAAAAATAAATTCTAACATTTGGGACTGGTATACGAATGCAGATTCAGTAACATTGATAAGTTACAGCTGTGTCATTTAAACTGACGACTAAGTTTGGTTTTGTAGTCATTTCTCATGTAGAATATAGTAAATATCTGAAAAAAAGAATTTCTTTTTCCTGTTATACAGTCACATCTCTAGAGGTACAACTAACAGACTGCCACACTGTGACATTATTTGTTTATATATGCAAAAATCTGAAAAAAAAAATCTTTCATCGATGAGCACTATTATAGCTAACATTTATGTTGTTTTATTAACACATACTGTATTTACTCTATTAGTGCACTCACCGTGATTATTTAATGTTTGAAGTTAGTTTGCAGACGACACTCTATTATCAACAAAAATATTTATCCACCAAATTTTATGCTTAGAAATTTAAAGCGAGAGGGTCATCACCTGCGCTCGCGTGGAAATTGAGTCCCAAGCGATGATAACAACACAAGCTAAGAACGCAAAGGCTCATAGGTAGTCACTTCTTCGTAAACAATGACACGCTATGGCCAGCTGACGCATGCATAGATGATGACTCCCTCGCTTTAAGTGGAAAATTAGTGATGACTATAGGTCATCGCACTTGTTTTGTGCACATACACAGTAACTGGTTGTTCACATCCCTAGACAAAATAACAATGCTGTTCACTGCTATTGGTATAAAATATAAATGTATGTACCCCTGTTAATAAAACAACTCGTTGAGCAATGTCGTCACAGCAGATCGTAGGCAATTAGTGAGTAAAATTTGTTATATGACATTTCCATATAGATTGGAAAAAATGATGTCAGCGTGACGGCTTATAGATGATAATGCTCGGCTATTTGGAAGAAACATTTAAAACAGAAATCTTTTAGTGCCAGACCCACAAATTCTACAAATTAAAAAAAATGCTTACCAATTAAAAAATGTTTGTACAGCATCACGCCCCAAATCCTCAGCTTGTTGGGCTCCAAAGGGACCCACATTTGATTTGATTCCACCAGTTCCTATGGAAACCAGCAACAGTGCAATAAAGTAAAAGAATCTTTTCTGGACAACAGTGAGTTCATAAGCACTGTCAGTGAGGTTCATGAAATCTATAGCGACAACTGGTAATAAGGCAGCACCTGTAACAGTCAGAAGAAATAACTTATTAAATTTTTCTGTGATAATTGGAATATTTCTGGTTTTCATGTATAGCACTGATAAGGACGGGGTGAGAACGAATGTATAAAGTTGCGTAAATTTTTATGTTATGAAATGCACACAATGTACACAAACAATGAAGATATTTTTGGCCGCAACAGTAACTCATAAAATACCTATAGCGACAAGCTTTTTGACATCCGTTTGGTCAAATGCATATTTAGCGAGAAACAAGTTTCAGAATTTTGTGAATCATTGATTAATAGCAAAATTTGATAGCAGTGAATATTTTGATGATGTCCTAAAACACGTAGTGTCCATGACTTTGGAAGATTTTGTCTTCATGAAGGCCATAAAATTCGAAAATCAGGAAAATTTTAGGCAATGAAAATTAAATGGTTAGTATATTTTTTAGTATTTCGATAACAGTGGCCAAACTACTGTCATTTTTAATTTAGTCATGACAAACACGCAATTTTATTTAATTCCTTTTTTTAAATATCTGTTGCCATTGAACTGGAACAAATAGTGTCATAATTATTTTTGAATCAGTTAATTAATCTCCATATGAAGTAATTCAGAAATTTATGGTGGTCACTATATCGTATTTGTTCTATTAGAAGTACATCTCCAATAGAAGTGCATGTAAACCAACAGTTGCATATAATATACTGGATCATTTAAATATGACACACCTCTCTCTCTCTCTCTTTCTCTCTCTGTCATTTATGTAAGCACATGCACTTCTAACAAAGCAAATATGGTACACAGGTTTAGGACAATTAAGTCTGTGTTTACTGTAAGGCTGTATTAACTCACCTATAAAATATGCAAGAGCAGATCCATATATGGCATTGAACTTCCCAGAAATTGAATCAGCGACAAATCCGCCAAAGATTGGGAATAAATACGATGTGCCTGTAAAAACCAGACTAACAGTCACGGCTTGCGCACTCGTTAAATTCAACTCGCTGGTACAAAACAACACCAAGTTAGCCGAGATACTGTAGTACGTCAGTCTTTCACAAAGTTCAATCACTAGTATACAAAAAATAACTCGAAATCTGGCTGCTTTGCTTTTGAAGAAAATCTTCTCGGTTTCGTCATCTGCATCCTGGCCTTGCACAATAAGAGGAGTTTTTTCATGTATTGGACTCGGCTCTGGAGTGTCAAGTTCAGGTGTTACATCATCATATGTAGCCATAATGAAATAGCTGTCAACCCATTGAGTGTCTCCATAAAATGAAAAAAAGTATATATATATGCTCAGAACAATGAAGGCATTTGCCACCCACTGAATGGTTAGCCATATAATTACAATGTTGGTTAAGCAGTAACTAGTCTTATTTATACAGTGTTTGTGGATTCCCCTTCCCGCCCCATACACAATGGGTACTGTAAAGGGGGTAATTATTCACTGGGTTTTAATTTAGCTTATTTCGCTGACTGGAAAATGCGCTAAATTAAAACCCAGTGAATATGTAAAATTTAGCATAGAATACATTATCTAAATGACGAAACCGTGAATTTAAAACCCACTGAATATGCCTGAAATGGTAAATCAGTGAAATTTAAACCCGGTGAAAATTAGTCATTTTACAGTATGTGCTGACTTAGCCCTGCGTACAGTGCTGTGTGTAAGGCGACGCGTTTGGTTGATAGATGTCCCCACCACAGCCCTGCGTACCTCCATAGACAAAGTCCGGGAGCGCACCGTCATTGGTGCGCAAGTTAGAAATAACTTTTAATAAGTAGTTTCCCAGCCAAAATCGGTTGAAATGGCGAAGAGTTATCCGTAACAAGCATTACAAAGTTATCTGAAACTGAAATGTC